AAAAAAAATTTTACGAAAACTTTTTTTAATAACAAACACAACACACTTCGATGGGAAAAATTTACAAAAATCTCAAAAGTACGCAAATAGGACGGGACATTTGTATGGGGGATATGTCCAAACATAGAGTCATATATATAATTTTCTGCATAAATATGTTTTACTTTACCAGAACCCATACAATGCGGCTATAACTTTCAAAATAGCGAAAATAGGGCTGTACTTATATTTGGAGATCTGTGTAAACTTTTATCTTAATTGATATATTTCTGCATAAATGTAGGCAAGCCTCCAAAACCCCACAATGACTATAACCTTCAAACATAGGATTGTATCTTTATATGGAGGCTATACCGAAACGTGGACAAGTACTTCTTTCATGGGAAGTTTTGAAACCCTATTAGAATCAATTATATAAAATTGTGTTCCTTTTATTCTGGAGGACACTCACACATCCTTTAGGCATATAGGGTAAACGGACCTAATTACGGCATGTACCAATCGTTGACATTTGTTTTATATAACTTCAAATAACTAAACCAGTGAGCGGAGCAGTATAGACGGACGGGGCCGACCATATAATACCCTACACAACTTCCACGAAAATCTAACTTTGCGTTATTTGCACCCTCTTGAAACCTGACTAAAGGTCAACAAATATTACTAATATTCAGTAGACGAGGGCTATACTTGTCCAGATTCTCTTTACCGTGGGTTATGTTGTGATGTTGGGCTTTCAATTGCGGCCTGTAGATCGACTCAAAAAAATAAATAAAAAAAAAATAGCACAAATGTTAAGTTTTCGGTCCACTTCATCCCAAAATTATTATCTGATCGTCACCGAAGATTATAGGCGTTGTCCTTGACCATAACTGGAATCTTATGGAAATTTTCAAAGCTATCAGCGCTTTATTTCCGCCCTCTAGTGTGGTTTTGGGTTACTAAATAATGTCTGAATACGAAGCACCTGTAAATATTTAAGTGTAGCTCCCTCATCTGAGTTCATACGACCATATAATTGGTATCAATTTAAAGGTCAACCACTCCTCTTGAACATACTATCAACTTTTTGGGTCTAGGTCCTTCAGGGGCAAATATATACGCCATAGAATACAAATTTCGTCATTTTTCACACAAAAGTCAGAGTCCATTTGACTCGCTAAATATTGACCGATCTTTATCAAAACAGGCATGCTTATTCTTTGGCCCGATCCCCTTCTTCAAGCAAAAATTCGTGGTGTTTGGGCCATAATTGCGGCCTCTGGAGCGACCAGAAAAACCGACAAAAATTTAGTATTTGGTCCATTTCATTCCCTAAATATTAACCCATCTTTTCCAAAAGCAATAAGGGTCTTCATTGGCCAGGACCCATTCTACATGCATGTCTAGATCGACTCAGCTAGTCGAGATATGACGATAGGTATACTTAAAGGTGGGTCTAGGACCATTATTTCGCGGCGTTACAAACCTTTGGGCTGCACAAAGCTATAATACCCTGACAACATAGTTGTGTAGGGTATAAAAATCCTATAACTAAATATGAAAAATACCTTTAATAATCTTCAATAACACTGCAACCTATTTTTTTTATAAAATTTAATCGAGCGAAGTACATTTATTCAGTCAAAATTTGGTATTTGGTCAATGAGGTTTGTCAACACTGGCGATAATTCATGTTTCTTATAAAAAAATTATTGGGCATGTCAATTTCAAAAGACTTGCTATTATATTAAAATCATATAATTTTACAAAGATCTTCTTCGTAATTGTAAAGAGCATAGAGGAGAATACTTTAGAATTTAAAATCTTTAAAAAATATTTGTAATTATGATATTTTTATAGATGCCGCCCTTAGAACCACAATTTTTATGGTTTGCCTATAGTCGACATATGAGTGAATAATAAGCAGCTTTTCGATCATTTTGGCTCAAAATTGGAAAAAATTATAAATAAGTGCTCTAAATAACGATTAATTTATAAAAAATCAGTTTAGAGTGGTTTTACATAATGGAAGACATTATTTAATCTTAGATTGTTTTAACCTCTGAAATGCCTTTTTTTGCCATGCCGAGAATTGGATAACAAGTTCCCAACTATGTTGTCAGGGTATTATAGCTTTGTGCAGCCCCAAGAGTTTGTAACGCCGCAAAATAGTGGTCCTAGACCCACCTTTAAGTATACCGATCGTCATATCTCGAATAGCTGGGTCGATCTAGACATGTGTGTCAGTCCGTCCGTCTGTCCATTATAATTTGTAAACACGATACAGGCCACAGTTATGGACCAATCTTCACGAAATTTTGCATGTAGGATGGGTTCTGGCCAATGAAGACCCCTATTGTTTTTGGTAAAGATCGGTTAATATTTAGGGGATGAAATGGACCAATTACTTAATTTTTGTCGGTTTTTCGGGTCGCTCCAGAGTCTGCAATTATGGTCCGAACATCGTGAAATTTTACATGGAGAAGGGGATCGGCCCAAAAAATAAGGATGCCTGTTTTGATCAAGATTGGTCAATATTTAGCGTGTTAAATGGACCCTGACTTTTGTGTGAAAAATTACAAAATGTTTATTCTGGGGCGTATATATATGCTCCTGAAGGACATATACCCGAGAAGTTGATAGTATATCCAAGATGAGTTGTTGACCTTCAAATTGATATGGCTGTATGTACTCTGATGTGGGAGTTATACGTAATTCGGTAAAGATGACTATGTGCATAGAATTACTATTACTCCATTGGAGGACGGATATGTCGCGCTAATCGCTGTGAAATTGTACATGAACTTCCGATTATGGTCAAGGACGACGCCTATGGTTTTTGGTGAAGATGAGATTTCATTCAGGGGGTGTAATGAACCTAAAACATTAATTTTGTCAGATTTTCTAGTCGTTCTAGAGGCAATTATTATATGCAGAACATCACATATTTTACAAGGTGAAGGGGATTTGATCAAATACTGATGACCGGTCAATATTCCGAGGGTCAAATCAACCAAAATCTAAAGTGACCAATTTTTTTATTTTATGGCGTAAACATCACTTCAAGAAAAAAATTGGAAAATATGACAGGGTTAGAACGTGGAGTTGTTGATCTATAATCGGTAAAAAGGGTACAAATATCACGAAATATGGCTCAGGCTCAGAATATGGAACTGCAGAAAGTTTGATTTTCGTGATAGTTGTGTAGGGTATCATATGGTGGGCCCCGTCCGACTATACTTCTCCGCTCACTGGTTTATAATTGTAATATGTTAATTTAATATAAATTTTAGGAGAAAAATTAATTAAATAATTAAATTAAAATTAAATAATTAATTTTGTAAATAAAATACAACATGCCGACTATTGGAACATGACATGCCGACAATTGGAAAAAAGTGCCGACTATTAGCACAAAGGCTCTATTTTATCTAATTATGAATTTAATCTACTATATACAAATTTATTAAACACATTTTTATTGCATCGGGGAGTAAACAAAATTTGGAAACATATGAACCTAAGTACAATATAGTGAACAAAATGCCCTCGGGATGGTGAAACGTTTAAATGCGAAAATCCTTAAAGTGCTGACTATTGGTGCACTTACCCTACATATCTGCTCACATTTATATGTAACATTGCAGAATTGTCTATACTCACAAAAAATCTGTCGATTGTTAGTCGGGTCGGGTCCATTTGTACTTCTCAATTTCATTAAATATCCCCTGGAACAATATTAGTAACCTTCTCGCCTATTTTTATTTCATACTTATACAATACGTTTATCTTTCATTCATTTTTGTTTCTCTTTATTGCAGGATTAGTACCTGCCCCAAAAACCGAAGGTGACTCACAGCGGTGATGATATTCTGATGCTGGATAACAAAGGCCATTAACGATTAAGTCACCTTTAATTGCTCACAAATATATTTTTTAACAAAATAGAGCACACCAATGTTTAACAACAATAACACTCAATAGAGGAGGGAAAAAACTGAGAGAACGACCGACCTCCAACAAATTGAATTAAACAACGCCGACAATAACAACAACAATCAATGAATGAATGAATGGAAAACATACCTAACTAGCTGGCAAGCATACATGTAATGACAGCGATACAACAGACTAATAATTGTCAAAAATAACCAGCAACAACAATACGACACTGATACCGGCGACAAAAAATTTCACATCAAAACAAAACGCCGCTAAAACAGCAAGCAAAGACACATTTGGAAATAGATAATATAAACAGAAATCATCACAACCTTTTGTGTTTTGTTGGGTATACTCTTTCTACCTTACGTTTATTAAACTCTCTTTTTTCCATAAAGAGAATCAACTCCCTTTAGCCAAGAACAAAAACGTCATCAAGTTCAAAGTCAACAAAACAAAACTAGCAAAGCTTTTTCATATTTTTTTAGTATTTGTTTTGTTTTGATTCTTGCCCCCCTCGTGGGAGAACATAAAACCAGACAACTGTCATTGCTCACGCTCTCCATCTCTCACGCGGTTGTAGTGGAGCTCTCAAACACGTACACTTAAGTGAGAATCGTGTGTGTGAGAATTTGGGGTTTTTGCACGCAAACACGTTGCTGTCTGCCTGTCTCTCACGAATCCAAACAATAATAAAAACAGCTTACAAATGAGTAACGATTCGTCTGCGAGTGAAACAACACCGCTTCGACGGCCGGAAGAAGAAGAAAGCTATCGCCAGTTACCCGTAGACGACGCAGAAGATTCATTGACGACGGCAAGTGTCACTAGCAACTTATTAACGTCGCGTAACGCTGGTATACCGGTCGCTTCCGCTCCACATAAAGGTGTAATATCGAACGCCCGTTTTAATACCATTGCCGTGGCACATCACGGTAACGCGAACAACAACAACAACAACGCGAATCATAATATTGAAGTTCATCTGACAACTTCAACGTCAGATCAAATACGCCATCGTTCCCCTTATCCAGACAATAGTCCCCATTACGCCGCCACTCCTCCAACAGTCTACCTCAACAAAATGGATACAACAAATAAAAGGATTTTAATGCGTGTCGGATTGGATGTTCTGATTTTAATTTGTGGTAAGTGTCAATTAACCTACTCTGATTTACCGATTGTTGTTGAGCATGTTCGACGCCGCCACCATCGCTGTACCCACCATACACAACAATAACAACAAATCTCGTCGTAGCTAAATGACAAAATTATGTCAATTATAAATAAAAAAAAACTTGCATGTTTAGTGTTGTCGCCGCATCACCCTTGGGCCGACCAGAGGCCTCTGAAATTTGCATACCAGTGGTGCATAAGTACTGGGCGATTTATTAGTGGAAGTGACAACAACAAAAACAAACTACACCAAACAGGCATTATTTATCATTGTACTCAATCACTAAGTAGCGTGGTACTCTTGGCATAGGGTTGCCATCAACCAAATGAATTTTTATATTTAGGGAAATTCCAAGAGGGTATTTTAGAGAGCTTTTGGAATATTATAAATTGGGGAGTAATTTCGCATTTTACGAGATTTGTCCAAATAAAATATGAGGAGGCCGTTGCAGCTTTCGCACTTAAAACAATGAACGAGTGGATCAACACAATGGACCGCACAAAAATATAGTGCAGGCTACAATCGGCTTGAGTCAATTTGAATCAGACCTAATTTGCTTTGAATTTGAATATTAGTCACATCATGTGATACAGTGATACCGTAGAGACATTAATGGGATGCTGGAATACTAGCGCAAATGCCCTCTAACAACTGTTGTTACTCAGGCGGCTCCTGGATGGCATGAAAGTCGGAACTGAAACTTTATATTGAAGAACCGAAATGTTACTTCACATGCCATACGATACTACAGGCGGAGGTACAAGCTATTAGCCTAGACAGACGACAGCCTTAATTTGCATTAACAGCCTTAATTCAAATTAACTTGTACATTATCCTCATTTTTATGTGTTGTTAATGCACAAAATCAAACTGAATTTATACTGAATTAGGCAATTTCAATATGGCAATGCTGTCGAAAATTAATTGTTTCTTGTCAAATTTATTTATATTTATGAAAATAAAAATAAGAAATGAAGGCAAATTTCAACCATTTCTTAAATTGGGAGCTGTTTTGCTATGATCATAGTTGCTATTCCGCCATTATTTCTATTTCCTAAAGATGTAATCCCGAAAAATCGATACAAATGTAAAAATATTCATCCTACACACATACAAACAATTGTTTTGAAGCAAAAAACTGTTTCGTAAATGCAGAAACTCTCGTCTGTCAGGGGTAAATATTAATTCAAATTAAGACATTTTTAATGCAAATTAAGCCTGTCGTCTGTCTATGGTATATGACAGAGTGTCTAACATGGTTAAGTTAAAACACTGGTCAGATAATAAATATTGCGGCGGATAGTCAAGAAGTCATAAAAGCCATAGCTTCCAAAACAGCTAAATCCAAAACTGAATTTAAATGTATAAATAAGCGTAAGCAATTTCTCGCGACACGGTCTTGTACGAATCATATAGGTACTGTGTTACATAGGACTAAGAGGGGATGTGATAGCAAATTATAGATATGGGCAACACGTGCAGGTCCAACACGTGCAGGTCATGGAGATAACGAAGGAACCAGAAAGAACACAAACACTTTATGGGTAAACCAAATCTCCGACCATGTTGAAACAGCAAACTGATAGATGCTTAGAAAGCAGCAGATGCAGTACGTGTGGAGAAGACAGCGAAAGTATGGATAGTTTCCCTGTCCACTGTCCAGCTTTTGCAAACCTTCAATTCTTGGGAGAATACACTATTCAAGACAAATTAAAGACCTAAGGTGGTGTGAATGCAAAAGAGTGAAGCACTTCATTAAGATAACGAACATGTAATTGGGCCCGGACGGAATATCCATGATAATGATTAAGCAGCTGGATGAACCCGGGTTGAGTATTCAACATCAGTCATAAACTTGTTAACCATCCACAAAATTCCTGAAGCCTGGATAATAGGCAGGGGGGTCCCACTACTGAAGTACAGAGCGATTTCACTCTTGTCTCTAGTAGCAAAGTCATATGAAGCGCTACTCCTCCGATCGTTGAGAAACAGTTTTTCACTTGTTCACCATCAGCATTGATTCCGCAAGATGCACAGCATAACAACAGCATTACACGTCATTTCCACACATATTAGCAGAGGACTTAAGCAGAACAGGCCTTGTAACCGAATAGTTATGGTGGCATTTGACCAATCTGACTTGGCTCTCGATACCGTCAACCATGCCGAGCTGTTCGAGGATATATATAGAAGATAAATCAACGACGAATTTGAAACGTTGGATAATCAACTATATGTGAGGACGCCAGTCGTATGTGGAATTTAGATAGAGGAAGTCTAAACCCCGTAGAGTGAAACAGGGAGTTCTCCAAGGAGGGGTCATATCTTCGGAATTGTTTAACCTCTACCTTTTGAATATTCCACAACCACGGGATAGAGCTCGTAATGTATGCGGATGATCATGACGTCGGATCCCATTGTTGATGACATTTGTGAGAGGTAAAACTTCTTTAAAGCTGTCTCGAAAATTTCTTCCATCTGAGGAATACGAAAATATCTGCCACAAAATCAGCAGGGTGTCTTCTCATGACTCCAGTGGACAATCTTCATGAGGAGACGAAGATCTTATCTGCCCATTGACACAATATATGTTGTCGATGCAGTACTTGCTTGGGTGTTATCGTCTGGAACACCCCTGTCATAGTCTTATGAACAGAACTGCCCCGCCAAGAGACGTCAGATATAAACGTGAACCTCTATATCAAGAAGCCTATCAAATGGTATCCATACAGGCACAGTAGGTCAGGCAGGTAGAGCAACATAATCGGAGACCACCTCATCCATCGCAGTAGAGGAGAACTGTGAACAACAAAACGTATGGCCCTAAGTCAGTGAATTTCGTTGCCGTTCTCCTGTAGGCCTCCACATTTGACAAAGCCAGCTTAACAAACAAATTTTTAAGCAACGGTCAGCGGTTCGAAGGCTATCCCATACGTTAATAAAAATCCTTTATAAGACAGTTCTTTTTCTCTTTCGAATCGAACTTAATGATCGAAGTTTTGCAATGAAAAGGAAAGCCAGGGGTAGTACCTACGTACCCACCATTATGCGACGCGTTTCGCCGTTGGTTAAGCGACTCTTCAGGCATATTGGCCTATGTGGTTTTACAAGGGTCGTGTATTGATACATTATAGCAGTTGATTCGAAATTGCATTTTCTAATTGAATTCAAATTTGTCAAAGTTCGGCATTTGTCTTTCTCTAGAAGCAGCCCTTTCAAAGCATATTTTTGTTGTAGCGATGAATAATACTGTGATAAAAAAACACCAACAAAAATATATTCAGGGGTTCAAATGTACCAATTCTGTTTTGTTGGAGTCCCTGGAACACGAAAATACCTTTAGTTTTTTTGGAACACGAAAATACCTTTAGTTTCAATTATGGGGTCAGTATCGTGTTTACAAATTATAATGGACAGACGGACACACATGTCTAGATCGACTAAGCTAGTCGAGATATGACTGTAGACTTAAAGGTTGATATAGGACCAATATTTCGCGGCGTTACAAACCCTTGGGGCTGCACAAATCCACAAGGGGGTTACACCATAACGTTGACCGATATATTCCATTTTCAATACCAAACATCCTAGCAATGTGTCTGTAACAGAGATACATAGATAAATCGAAATAGAAAGGTATTATGATCAGGATTTTCTATACTTTATTTAATATACAATCGATAATCGAATACATATTGTCCCTCGAAAATTTAGAATTTACAATATTTTTTGGAATATGCCACGCATATTTCGAATATCGTAAAAATCCTAATTTTGAACATCTGCAATGGCAACCCTGACCATTCAACATTCACATTCAATGTTGTTATGACAACAAAGTATTTTTATAACGTTCCTATATTTGTTTCTTAATATTTCAACTAAAAATAAATTCTAATCTTAGTTCTGCAATTACAACAGTTTTCATTGCGAGTTTTTTTTTTTTTTTATCTAGAAAATCTGTTTTTCATTATCATGTGAATGCTGCTGCCAGCGATGGCGTAAACAAACAATGAAACCGGTTTCACAATACTTTTATTTATTCATCGCCAAAAAAAATAGTATTTTATTTTTTTGTACGCGTCCGACAGATAAAATGTTGGCACAAAACCAGTTTCACGGAGTTTGGAGAATTTTAATTTCGTATTTTTTGTCATAAAGCTTCTCCTACATCCAAAATTATGACGCATTCAAAAGTTTTTGTTTTACTCACTGACAGTTATTTTAGGAATTTTCAGATAAAAACAAAACTTGACAGGCATTGTTTATAAAGTAATCAAGAAAAAACATATTTCTTTTTTCAATTGCGGTTATTTGTTATGGGTGGTGTGGGCCAGGTATGGAGGAAGCTACTATTTACTGTTCTCATTATGATTAGAATTTTTCGATAATATTTTACCTTTTCAATATCAAGCTTTACGATTGTAAATATTGTTTGTTTTCAAACTGCTCTCTCCTCTCTTCGTCTCGCCCTCCACCCTCACATTGAGGTGCGATGGAAACCCCCACATTTTCTGTTGTTATTTACTATACCACCTGTTGTACATATTTGCTCCGCTGTGTATTTGTGTTTATTTGTGAGACTAATATTGAGCAGAGTTATATTATAGAGGAGGTTACACGTGAATATCTCATTCTCCACTCAGAGTTCGATTTATTTTTACTCTGAATCACTTATCGATAGCTACAAATTGAGTGTGGTGACGTCTAATAATGGAAAAATATTTTCCCTCCAAAGGGGTTTTTTTTGTTAACTATTGTTTTATGGTTCATTATGCAATTGATGCGGTCAATCGAATCTTTGAAAACAAATCATTATGATAGAGTTGCCATGTGAGAGTTTTATTGTGCTGTGTTTAGATTAAGGTGTTTAATAGTTGGGCGCCATTAAGAAATTGTTATTTTTATAACTGAAAAAAATCTGGTGGGATTTTTTGAAGCCATAGAAGTTGGGGGTAGCATATAAAACTA